CGTAGTATTTGCAGTTATCATTTGTCTAATTCAACCCTAATTGAATTCTGCTTTTCTCATGGAGGCATTTATGTTCAAAGTGGTGATTTCTTCCCGTAGATGCATAGGGAGAGTCTCAAGTTTGGAGATGGACGGTTTAGTAGTGACTTAGCCATATGTACTATGTTGGAATTTGTCCTAGCAGTTTGAGCACTAGTTCTGTGTGCCTATGAACTTAATGCTGCTTGTTGTTCCATTCCACTTTGACTTTATGGAGAATTAATCCCATCTATTAAGCAAAGGCTACTAAGTTAATGGTATTTTCTGTGCAGAAATTAAAATTTTACTTTTAGCCTTTAGCTAAGGAAATTGTCCGGTAGGTACTCAGCTACTTAAACAAAAATCAAAATTTTTCATCATTAGACAACTGGAGTTTTTGCTGGTTTTGTAACCTACTAAAATGGATAGGCTGTTGAACATTCCACATTTAAAAGTTTTGTAGGGTGGTGGGTAATGGGGAATCCTCAATGTTTATTTTAAAATAAATAAAATAAGTTCTTTTCTCATGTGTGGTTGTGGTACATCATATTGGAAGGGTTATCTGTTTACTTTTGCAAATGAGTATTTCTTTTGCTAGCACCTCCCCTTGTGTGCTTTGATTTCATCTGCCTGGGATGTACCACAACCATATGTAAGCTGTACTTTAGAGGGATGAATAAAACATTCGTGGTTTGTTGGATAACCCCTAGATAATGTGTGCTTACAATCCAATATAAAATTGAGTTTATTACGTGTGTAAAAAATAATTTCATGACATTTAAAAATCAAACTTGAAGTAAATAAGTTTTTTTTTATACAGTGATCAGTATCAGTTCAGAGAGATGGGATGAGAAATACACCTTCTGGGTTTCAGACTTCTGTGCATTAGCACAGATGTGAATGTGTAAAGGTGTTTGTAGTTTTGGCCTGTGTTTTAAGAGTCATTTCTTTTAGAAATACTATAATTTTGTGGGGGACATTTTATCATACAATTTTTATGTCTCAATTCAGACCATATTTTTAAAGAAATACCTCATTATTAGAGAACTTTTGAAAAAGACCCATGTAGATCAGAATCTTGGTACTCGGTATTTTGTGTAATACTTGAATGGTTGTCTTAGGTGCAGAAAGCCTTTTGTTTGGTCAAATGTATATTCTAGTAGAGTTAAAAGGAAACGATGGTCCCACATGTGACTGTAGCCTCTTGGTGTAGCAAGACCACGTATAAAATACTTCAGTACATGCACAGTATCAGTCACCTCACATGGATAATGAAATTTTCTTTTTAAAAAATCTTCAGTAAAGGCAGAATATTAGTGGTTACCTTGGTCAGGGCAGTTATTATTTCTAGATCCTAATATTCCTGAAAATATGGAAGATTTTTTTTCTGATCATTGTATCTTGATATTAAAATGACTGTTCAATGTTTTTAATCAGTTAACTTCTACCACTTCTTTTGTCTCCTCATACATACACCTCTGTGTAGGAGACTTGCCACTTACAGGACACATGAGAATGTGTGCTTATTATCAGGTTAAGTGAGGTACTTAGTTGATAACCAGCTCATAAATGTAGGTCAGTGAGCTTCCTAAATGCTGTAGGAAATTGTTTTATTA